TCGAGCATTCGCAAATTCATTAAATAATACACACATAATCACCTATTATGTTCACATGTATTTATACTTGATGCAATTAACCTTTGAATCATAATTCTAGGATTCACGCCCGTAGGCTACCCACAGCACACATCATCACAATAGATCATATCTATATCATATCATAGAGGTATTAACCTATGTGAAGCAACCAAACCATCTCCACATGAACAACACAGCAAAAGAAAAATGTTGTCACATTCGCCTTCATTCGCCTGGAGAACCCTCGCAGCGAACCTTCGCCTGGCCTTCGCCTGGCGAACTCTCTCAGCGAACACTCGCTAGGCTTCGCCTGGCGAGACTTCCCAGCGAGCCCAAGTCAGTAGCTACTGACTTCATTCGCCACCATTCGCCAGCACCTTCGCTGGGCGAACCTTCGCTATCCAACTTCGCCTGGCGAACCCACCAGCGAAGTCCACTGGGACTTAAATATAATTATTCGCCAACATTCGCTAGGCTTCGCCTGGCGAGAGCCAACGAACCTGCGCAGAACAGAACCCTATTCTGTTCCACCTCCACCATCCACCATCATCCAACTTCTCACACAACAAAATCAGTACAAACAGCATCAACACATGTTACCCGACTATTCTACGACATTATTGCTCAGTTTCAACCGATTAAATCATCAATCTACCGATTATTCCAACTTTTGCCCTAATTGGGAAGTGATGAAAACTCTACCAAAACCCCAACCCAACATACATAACATCATACAATGATCAAATAGAAACATTTCTCACCCTTACCTCGATTAATCGGAGCTTTGATGTTGGTTCTTGATGATTTCCACTTTTCCTCTTCTTCTCCTCTCTTTCTCTCCTTTCTTCTTCTTTCCTCTTTCTTTCCAAATGTTTTCTATCTTTCTTTTCTTTTCTTTCTCTCTTATATAATTCCTTTATTTTCCTTCCTTCCAATTTCCTTCTCAATTCTCTATTAATCCCAATTAATAAAAATTAATTTCCAACATTAATAAAATCCCACTAAATAAATTAATTACTACAATTAATTATTTAATGAAATTTGGGCTGTTACAGGTACGACAATGGTGGAGCTCGATTGAGGGGACTCCGTCAGATCAAAAGTATGCTCGCACACACAAAGAGTAGACTCTTGTCTTTTTGTTTTAAATTTGGGAGTCGCGCCTGTACCATGTCGCACCCCTTGTGGTCGCGAAGCTAGTGGGTCGCGTGCAATGTCTAACTGTAGTATTGCTTGAGTTTTTCTGTGTTCCATGGTCGAGAAAGTTCTTTTCCGTGCAGGTTTTCGAGGTAATAGACCCCATGGCCCGTTTTGTCTCGGACACGGTAGGGGCCTTCCCAGTTCGCGGCGAGTTTTCCCTCGCGCGAGTCCTTTTGATTCCTTCGTAGGACCAGGCTGCCCACCTGGAACTCGCGCTTGATGACTTTGCTGTCATGCCGCAAAGTTATCCTTTGTTTCAGTGAGGATTCTCGTAGGGATGCCCCCAACCTGATTTCCTCGACTAGGTCGAGTTCCTCTCTTAAGGCCTCGTCGTTTGCCTCCTCGTAGAGGGGAGACTCGGTTCTCCTGGAGGGTTCTCTTATTTCCACCAGAATTACTGCCTCAGTTCCGTAGGTTAGTCGGAATGCGGTCTCCCCGATTGTCAAATGCGGGGTAGTCCTCTAGGCCCAGAGTACGCTGTGTAGCTCCTCGACCCACCTCTTCTTGGCGTCTTCCAACCTTCGTTTCAGGCCGCACATAATCACTCTATTCACTGCTTCGCCCTGCCCGTTCGTCTGCGGGTGTTCGACCAAGATGAAGTGTTGTTTCGTGCCCAACCTGGTAACGAAGTCCTGCAATTCTTGTTGGTGAATTGAGTCCCGTTTCCGGTGACGATGGCTTGGGGTATGCCGAACCGGACAAGTATATTCCTTTTGTAGAAACGGAGTATGTTTTGGGTCGTGATTTTGGCTAAGGCTTCGGCCTCTATCCACTTAGTGAAGTAGTCGACGCCGATGGCAAAGGGCCCGAGGATATCCGTCCCCCACCAGGCAAATGGCCACGGGGACGAGAGTGTTTTGAGCTCGTTTGGCAGGGCCAGGTGCATGTCCCTGTGCCGTTGGAATTTGTCACACTTCTTGATGTGCTCTTTGGTGCCTTGCTGCATGGTGGGTCAATAATATCCTGCTCGTATAGCCTTACGGGAAAGTGATCTTCCGCCGAGGTGTTGGGCGTTGATTCCTTCGTGGATCTCTTGAAGTATGCTTGGTACCTTGGATTCGTCGACGCATTTGAGGAGGGGAATGGAGAATCTCTGCCGATACAATTTGTCCTCGATCAAGACGTATGAGCAGGCTCGACGTCTGACCACGCCCGCCTCTTTGGCATCGTCGGGCAGTCACCCCATGCTGAGGTAGGTGTATATAGTAGTTATTGTCACCGATAGCGTTGACCTCGATAGTCGTTGTGTCCTTCTCGATGTTGGGGCGAGAGAGAACCTCCTAGATTACGAATTTGTTTCCTCCCTTTCTCTTCGCGCTCACTAGTTTCGACAGGATGTCTGTTCTAGTGTTGTGTTCGCGTGGAATGTGTCGTACCTCTGCGGAATCGAAGCTTTTCATTTTTTCTTTTACCAAGGCGAGGTACTCGGCGAGGTTGTAGTTCTTGGCTTGGTACTCTCCTCGTACCTGGGAGGCCACAAGCTGGGAGTCGGTAAAGATCTTTACCTCCTTCGCGCCAAAGTCTTCGGCTAGGCGGAGTTCTGCGAGGAATGCCTCGTACTCGACTTGGTTGTTCGATGTTGGGAATGTCAAGGCGAGAGAGATTTCTATCAGGATGCCCTCTTTGTTTTCTAAGATGATGCCCGCCCCATTTCCCGTCGAGCTAGAGGCGTTGTCGATGAAGATGGTCCAATTGTGCGCCCTGGGGTCGGGGACTCTGTGGAAGTCATCTCTGCGACGAAGTCGACCAAGACTTGTGCCTTGAGGGCTTTTCTACTCTCGTATTGGACGTCGAATTTTGAGTGTTCGAACGACCATATGAGCATTATGCCTGACATGTTCGTTCGTCCAAGTAGCTGTTTGACGGACTGGTCGGTTCTGACCATGATCGTGTGGGCCAGAAAGTAATGTGTAACCTCCTGGCCGCGTTGATGAGGGCCAGAGCGACCTTTTCGTTTTGCTGGTATCTGAGCTCGGGACCTTGGAGGGCCTTGCTCGTGAAGTATATCGGCTTCTTCCCTTCGGGGGTCTCACGGATCAGCGCTGCACATCAAGAATAATCACTTATGGAATCAATTAGCACATCAAGAATGAAGATTAAATCATGGCATAATCAATTCGCAAATGAGAAAAAACGTCGAAACTACATCGCAAATGATACGGCAACAATCAAAACAGTGAAAAGAGTGAGAATTAACCAACCTACAAGGCTGAGATTTACCTTGGATGTTGTTGCAAAAGAAATGTGATGAAGCTACTCAAAGAAATCCAGAGAAAGCATAATTCACAATCGAACCGTAGCAAAACTGAGCAAATTCTGACGAAAACTCTAAAATTAAAATTACACCGAATACGCTTGAAGTAATCACTTGAGATGGATCCAAATGCAAAATAACTCTAGAAAAGCAATAAGAATTTGCAAGATGATGATGGCTAAGCTCAAGAGAAAGCACTTTCGATAAAGAAGTTGCTACTCTTTAATGGAGGTTTTGAGCTCTAATGAGGTTTTGGATGAAAGTGAAGAACATTACGAGTAGAAGTTGCAGAAAATTCAGAGAGAATGTGAGAGAATTGAGAGTGATCAAATGTGAGAATTTGGGAGAATTAAATGGCCTCCTTTGAAATGGTGATGATTTGCTTATATAGAGTTTTGCTTCGGAGTTACTAGGTTCGGAGTGAGCTTAGGATGTAGCCTTGAAACTAGCCTTGGAGTTAGTTAGCCTCAACTCGCTGAGTTGGAGGTTAATTCAGTTAGTTAGGTAGTTGACTCGGTAACCATTCCAATGCAAACTTGAATCTAAGGGCTCACATGCTTGGAAATGAAGCAACGTGGTGGTCTCAATCCAAATTAATGTACTAGAGCAAATGCCTTGAAGTGTTTAGAAATGTCTTGAAGTGTCTAGAACTATCTAGTATGTTTCACACAATGCTAGAACCATGTAGATCCCAAAAATGAGAAGTGGTGAAAATGCAACAGATTCTGCAAATTTTGCAAGGGTTAATCGATTAACCCATTTGCACTAGCAAATGGTTAATCGACTAACCAGGCTAAAACTTTTCCAATTTGCCTAAAAAAAGATGTTTTGGACATGACTCTGATTTTCGACCTCTTACTCTGATGAATAGGTATAGAAACCTTTATTTTGTGCTTGTTTTGATGATGTGATATCCTTGGGAGGATGTGATTAATCGGACTTGAAAAGCTTGAAAGTTCCTACAACAAAGATTCACAGAGAAAAAGCAAATGCGTATACCAGCGATGCAAATGCACATGCTTATGCAAAGGCAAAAAAAGGAGGTCAAAGCACACTTCAATGGGCAGTTATAAGTTGATTGCCGATAGATTTGAATGTTTACGTTTTCTCCATAATGTTACAGAAAATTCAGCTAAACATGGCTTAGAACAACTCCAAGAGAAGATTCTTTCCAAAACAGTTGACTTGGATATTAAGATATGCAATGCTAGTGAAGGAATTCCGATAATAAAGCAAAGGCTACTGGGAAAGAAGGTTCTTTTGATTCTGGACGATGTTGACAAATTGAAGCAACTGCAAGTTATGGCTGGCGGACTAAATTAACATCACGCACAAACTTTATCTATGATCATGTGGCCATGAATTTGCCACAAAACTAGGAAAATTTTGAATAAGTAAATAGACAGGTAAAATGTTGTATAACTAAATAACTATGGCATCAAAACAAAAGGAATATAATACAAGCACGAAGTTGGTACATCAACAACAACAGATTGAAATGGAGTATAATCAGAGTGATTGGAATTCATAGAGGAATTCCAGCAGCGACCTCTGCTCGGGAATTCATAGAGGAATGCATAAGAAAAAGCGGACAACCAAAGAATATTGCAACAAAAATCAACATCCAGTTGATGGTTAAAAGTTGAATTGCAAAGCAACCTAAGAAATAAGAGAACATACCAATCTCAAATCCAAACTTAATCAGTTTGTGCAAACTTAATGACACCAAAGCAAACGAGGCGTTTGAAACTATACTCAGTGTTTCAGGTTTTCCATTCACAGCTTTGTCGTAGAAGAATGAGTACACTGAGATGATCAATAAAACCGCAAAGCTCGCGTAAGTTTTGAGTTGAAAATGTCGCGTGGAAAGTGATGACTGCTTTGTAAATAATATGGTAGTTAACATAGCCAAGGAAAATACACCATAAAGAAAGAACTTGAAAGGTTTCCACCTTCCAATTAATCGATTGAAAGAAGGGCTTAGAGCATAACATGACAGGCCAACTACACTTGACATAAGGCCAACTAGTCTCCACGTCATCTCGGTTTGAAAATCCCCATGTGAAATTTGTAACATAACTCTAGCAATTTTGTCTAAAATCAGGGAAACATCAGGATGTGAAATCTGCAAGGTAACAAGAGCTTGTAATTTCAGTAAGGTTTAGAAATTTAAAATGATTTAAGTAATTGTGTTTGTGTAGAAGATACTTTCAGAGGATTCCATATAAAGAGAAGAAAAGAAAATTGAAAATAAATTTCTACTGCATGTTGGCATCTAAAATAGTGCTAAGAACACTTAAAACTGGTAATGTTTGTTCAAATTCATACATAATGCAATTTTTAGATGACCAAAAATTTGGGACATTAGAAACATCGTGTCTGTAATAACTGATCATAGTCAAAATTTAAAGCTCTCAATAATCAAATGAATAATTTTGAACATAAAAACCAGGGGGAAAAACTTATACTTACCTGTAAAAACTCATTTAGATCGGGTGACATGAAGCCCATGTTTGGTAGCTTACATATAACAAGTTTCTTTGAATCAAAATCAGATGGTAACTCTTCTGAAGGATATCTCCACCATTCCAATACCTTTAAACTGTTTGGAAGATACTTGGGAGCTTTGGAGAAATGACATTTTCTAATAATAAGTATTCTGAGATTTGGCATCTCCTCAAAGGCCTCTCCGTCCCATTCTATTGCTTCTTCATTTTCAATTAAGGAGGAATCTAGATGTATGATTTCAATATTACTAGTTCCCTTAAAATACAAAAAAAAAAAATTAAAGAAACAAATCAAACCCAGTACAGTGTATATGTAAGAATTCAACAATGATATTATGAGAAGATTTAGTTATTATAAAAGGTAAAAACAATTGTGACATTAGTATATATAAGAGTGAAAAGAGATCAATAAAGGTTAAACATAAAATATGAACCACCTTTGATAGCCCTACCTTATTATTTTTTAGGACTTGAACTATATCTTCTCGGAACCATAATCTACTACGACTCCCAGGATCACTTGGCGATTCATCACAGATAATTTTTTTACCCATGCTCTCTATCAAGGGACATGGTGTCACCTTACCATCCAAACTGATATGTATGAGAGACTTGTCAATCAACACTTCGATATGATTTTTCATGTCTTGACCATAACGAGCACAAAGAATATCTACAACATCTGTCAATTCATATCCTTTAAAGCAACAAGTAATGTCAAGAAAAACGTTCTTCTCCTCTTGATCCAAATCATCGAAGCTTATTCGAAGTATATTTTGGATGTTGTTGGGAGGATTCCGTTCAAATCGATCTAATGTATGTTTCCATTGGTCAACACTTTTTCCGGACAAGTTGGAACCTATTACTTCCAAGGCCAATGGGATCCCGGAAGCATAAGTTACAACTCGGCTTAAAAGTTCTGTGTAATTTGGATCAACAATGCCTTGTTTAAAAACCCTGTGGCTAAGCAACTCAAGAGCATCTACGTGATTCAACTTTTGTACCTCGTATCTTCTTTCAAACCCATGAAATGCTAGCAAATGTTTGTCCCGTGTTGTGATGATAACTCTGCTACCAGGACCAAACCAATCAAGTTCTCCAACCAAGGTTTCTAGTTGCTCAAGTGTGTCAACATCATCTAGGATGAGAAGAACTTTCTTTCGGCGGAGCCTATACTTTATTACAGAAACTCCTGTACTAGCATTTCCTGACTGAATGTCTTTCAATCCAACCATTTCTGAAAGAAGCCTATTTTGGAGGTGTACTAGTCCATGTATATTTGAGTTTTCACTAACATTGGGAAGAAAACATAAAGCTTCAAATTGGTCTCCAATCTTATTATAAACTGCTCGAGCAAGTATTGTTTTACCTATTCCGCCAACCCCATAGATCCCTGCTGTGAGGACTTGTTTTGATTCCAACTCTAAAAGCAAACACACTTCTTCCAATCGAGACTCCAGTCCAACCGTGTAATTAGCAATATGTACCGGAACAAGATCAAAACTGCTAGAGATCTCTTCCACAATCCTTTCAATAAACTCAAATTCATATCCATCCCTGCTAGGTTAGAGAGATTGGGTCAAACTGAATGCAAATATAAGCACAGCATTCAAACTTCAAAATTTATTACAAACAATAAAAGGTTTAAGTAAGCATTGCTTATCTTTTTAAAAATAAACAATAATTCAAAGCAAGGTTATCAAACACGGAGTCTAATCAAACTCATGCAACCTCCTTATACTCTACTTATAAACTTGTAATAACATATATATGATATCCATTTTAATCTCTGAATGTATGAGGGGCTGTCACTACAATCTTTGAATGTATTAAAATTGTACATCCTCAAGTGTCTATAATGTTAGCAATGTTATGGACTAAACTGGCCAACAAAACCCGCAATTAATTTGAAAAGCCAAAATATTTCATTAACAAAATGACTAGCAACATATTTAGGTATATCTTTATAATCTTAATATATTCGTGCATGCTTTTAAATTACACTCCACGACCGCAATTGTGGCCGCAATATTGCGGATGCGGTAGCCTCCGCAACCGTATCATACCCCAATTGTGGTGTGATTTAAAAATCATGCGTCCGACCACATTAGAAACCATATTTGACAATTTTACCCATGTTTTTTCAAGTATTTTCATAGAATCTCAAAATTTCATAATCCCAAAATTCAATTTACTTTGAATATATATGTTTTTTTCAACATTGAATTTCAAACACATCTCAATCAAAATTCACACTGTAATATGCATCGGAGCAACCACAATGACCGCAATCGCAACACCCGCAACTGCAATTTAAAATCATGCATTCGAGTACATATTTAGGATCAAAATGACTTATTACCTAGAAAAAAAATGAAAGAGCAAAAGCTAAGAAACAATATCGTTGAGGAAGGGTACCTACCCTTGTTTGAAATGAAATCCAGACAAGTTAGCTACTTGATATAAAGTGTTCCTCCATTTCTTAACTTTGTCTTTGTTATCTTTGAATTTCTTCTCATGCTTTGAAAAAGCTTCAGCATAAGTTCCTCTTTGATATCTTACAACAGCAGGATCCACATCATAAAAAATAGGGAAAATAAACCGATGATTCAAGTGAAAACTGTCAAGGATATAGACTAGTAGCTGCAAGCAAAAGGAAGAAAAAGCATAGTTGTTAGAAAACACAATAATGGAAATTCTCGACTCATTGATGACATTCAAAAGTGTTGATGCGATTTCGTCTCCTTTGGAAAGGTCCTCCTCATGGTCATCGACGAATGTGTTGATTCCTCTGTTACTGAGAGATTTCCAGAGATTGCCGGCAAAACCGTAACGAGTATCGTCGCCGAACAAGGTTATGAAAACGTCGTAGGTGAAGGAAGATCGTCGATTTGCCATGATACGCCGTCGCCGTCGCCGTCTTCTCTGGTGGATACATTCGTATTATGGTTGAGTTGAGTAGCGCACGGTAAGTCAAGTCAAGCAACAAGTGAAAACGCGGTTAAGCGTTTCAGTTCGTATTGTGAATACAACTTTTTTATTCTCAATTTGTCATACTAATTATAATTATGTTTTATTATTTTATTTTTAAATCATACTACTGTATATCCTTTAATAAGTTGATAAAGACCTTAGATAAAGATGAGTTGTAAATTAATCAATTTATTGTTGTTGAATTTTAAATATGTTAAAAATTTGTTTTTGGCAAAATATAATTATTAACTTGATATTACAATATTTTACTATGAATTATAACTAAGACAACCATATGAGTTAATCAAATATAAAAAAAATACATTTTATTTGGAACTAAAAATGTATTTTTGTAATTTTAGAATCACATTTTTGATATTGTTTTACAAATTTAAATAAATATAAAGTGATTTTTTGTTTTGTTTTGATTCTCAGGTCTTTTTAGAACTTACCTTTAGATATTATGTTTTAAGTTGTTAAATATATTTATTTATTTTTAATTTAAAATAAAATAAAAATTTTATTTACAATTATTCTCAAATAAAAAATTCAATAGCTTTATAAAATTTACGAATATATGTATTTTTACTAATTTTAAGTTTTTGCAATGTGATTTAAAATTTAACACTAAAATCAACTAACGACTTCTCATAAATTATTTGTTGTTAATAAAATGATGAAAAACTACTATACCATTAAATTTTTTTAAATTGAGCAAATTAAAATTACTTAAAAGATATAATATTAAATATATATATATATATATATATATATATATATATATATATATATATATATATATATATATATATATATAAATATATATATATATATATATATATATATATATATATATATATATATATATATATATATATATATATATATATATATATATATAATTGAAAGAAAAATATAAATATTATTCAATAAAATTTATGAAAATAATATATTTATCTAACTTAAGAATTTATTGTTTGGTTAATATATTTTTGGCTATAACTCCTTTGAGATTAAAAATATTTAATATATTCTATTTTAATATATTATAATCATTTTTAAATATTTTTAAAGAAAACAAAATTTTAATTTTAATGTTTGGATTCACATAATTTTTTTTTTGTGAGGAGTTGAACTTGTGACTTGAAATAGAGAATAAATATTATATTTTTTTTTGTCTTTGCAAGGAGTTGAACTCGTGACTTATAATGGTAAATAACAATTGCATTTCACATTTTAAAAATACATTTAAGAATGTGTCACAAAGGACAATGAGATATGTGGCAAAAATGAATTAGAAATGTTAACATGTGTCGTGATATAATTCATCGTTTCAGATTTAATATATTATATAGATTAGAATTTAGATATCGAATTATCACTACTATGAAAAAGCCATGCCACAACGGTTGGAAAAGGGATATCACAATGCATGACTAACCGTTGTGAGGTAGGGATGATTGTATGTATGATGATTTCCACCACGACCGCGAGACCGTGATAGTAAGGCAGGACGCGCACTATCTACCACAACGGTTACTTGTATCAACCGTTGTGGTATATACATTTAGGTAAATAACATTTCATCACGGTTAAAATAAAGGCACAATACTCTTTTTGGTCCCTTAACTTTATCCTTAGGTTCAGATTACTCCCTTAATTATTGTTTGTGTCAGATTGTTCCCTTAACTATTTAAAACGTGTCCGATTGGTCTTTTTTGTCTAATTAGCGACAAATTTTTAAAAAAATTTTCGTCGCTAATAAGACGAAAAAGATCAATATGACACGTTTTAAAGAGTCAAGGGACCAATCCGACACAAAAAATAATTAAGAGACCAATTTGAACCTAAGGGTATAGTTAAGGGACCAAAAAATGTATTTAGACTAAAATAAATAATTGTTGTTGAAAGTACCCAGAGTGTCTTATATAATATGTAGATTGTTTGTTTTTCAATAAACTTCACGGCAACATACAACCATTAAAATTGATGAAGAAATATATAATTTGAAAATTAAACTGTTGTGGATAGGATGTCTTGAAACAAAATATAAACGGTTTCTTTATAGACAAGAAACACATAAGGGTTGGGGTTAACAAAGAAAACAAGAAAAAAGAACAAGAAGAAACAATAAGGATTGGTTATAAATTTTTATATTCTTTTCTCTTTCAAACAAGATTACAAGTATACAAGAATAACAAATAACCTCTCTCTCTTGAATTAGAATTTTATCTTTCTATTTTTCCTTATGCCAAGATGAGAGACTAGCATGCTATTTATAAGAAAATTAACACACTAACCTAATGAGTTTTTTTAACAATTATCCATTACAAGTTAACTTAAACAACTGGGCTTACAAGCAAGACTCAATACAACATGCTAACAAACCTAACAATATTGACTAATGCATGTTAGAACAAACTTCGACTACAACACGCATTACTCCGACAGCAGCATGTGAACAGACTTCGACCTCATGCTTAATTTCTGTCAAATCAAAAGCTACCCTTGGACCATACTAGAGTTTGATCCAATATCTCACAAATTTCCATCTTAGATCTAACTCTATAACATCAAGAAACTAGCTTTTTTCATGCAGCTTTATCAACTGCATACAGTGGAAAAACTTGCAACTAGGCAACGTCTTGGTGATCATATCAACAACATTATGATCTGTCGAAACCTTCAGCACTTGAAATTCTCCATGCTCGATTATCCCTATGACAAAATGCAGCCTCACATCAATGTGCTTGGTTCACTCATGATGGGTTGAATTCTTCGGCGGGTGTAATGCACTATCACATTTAACAATGATAACTTGACCTTGAAGTTTCAGCTCTTTTACAAAACCTTCAAGCCACAATGCTTCCTTCACAGCTTTAGTTAGGGCGATATATTCCTCTTCAGTGGTAGATAAGGCAACAACCTTCTAAAGTGTTTCTTTCTAACTAATTGTTGTCCCAAACATAGTGAACACGTATCCAGAAATAGATTTTCTGGAATCCATACAACCTGCATAATCAGAGTCGATATATCCTTCAATTGTTGCTTTACTATTTTCACCCAAGGCTCCACCATAAATTAGGACTCTATTTAGAGACTCATTTATGTACCTTAAAATCCACTTCAATGTTTGCCAGTGAGCCTTTCCCGGATTCGCCATGTACCTGTTTACAAGACTTACTACATATGTTATGTCGGGTCTAGTACATACCATAGCATACATCAAGGAACCCATTATATTAGCATATGGAATGCTATTCATATAAGTTCTTTCGACATCATTGTTGGGACACTGATCTATACTCAGCTTGAATTGAAGGTTTGTCGAAGTCACAACAAGCTTTGAATTTGATATACCATACTTTTCGAGAATCCTCCATAGGTATGCCTCTTGAGATAAGCATAATTTCGACTGCTTTCTATCTCTTCGGATGTCAATTCTAAGAATCCTGGATGCATCTCCCAAATCCTTCATGTCGAACTCCTTATCGAGTTCAACCTTCACCCTCATTACATCTTCGACATTGTTGCTTGCTATTAGAATATCATCCACATAAAGCAACAAAATAACAAATGAATTACCAAGTCGAAATCTGAAGTAAACATAGTGGTCGAACTGACTTCTAATGAAACTTATGTGTGTCATGAACTTATCGAATCTCCTATTCCACTGTTGGGGAGATTTTTTTAGTCCATATAAAGATCTATTTAGTTTGCACACATAATCTTACTTCCCTTTTTCGACATACCCTTCAGGTTGCCTCATAAGGATTATTTCATCTAGATCACCATACAAGAACGCAATCTTCACATCTATCTGTTCTAGTTCAAGATGGAATTGTGCCACTGTGGCAAATAACATTCAAATGGATCTGTGTTTCACAACAGGAGAGAACACATCATTAAAGTGGACACCTTCTTTCTGAGTGAACCCCCTAGCGACCAATCTTGCCTTGTATCTCTTCGACGCCACTCCTTCAATTCCTTCCTTAACTTTGAAAATCCGTTTACAGCTGACTAACCTGGCTCCAACAGGTTTCTTGATCAGTTCTCAGGTGTTGTTATCATAAAGAGATTTCATCTCATCATACATGGCCTTTAGCCATTCAGTCTTCTTTCGACTCCTCATAACTTCCTTATAGTCTCTAGATTCTTCGTCTAGAACCTCACTTGCACAGATTAAGGCATAAGCTATAAGATCTGCATACCCAAGTCTCTGAGGTAGCTTTATGACTCTCCTAGACCTATCGCTCGCTAGCAGGTAGTCATTATTAGTCTCCTCATCTTCGACAACATCTTCTGCGTCTTCTTCGACTTTATCTGGGATACGCAATTCAGTATCAACATGCTCAACCTCAACAAGAATCTCTCCCTGTTCCAACTCTTCGTCAGCATCATCAGTTTTCTTGAAAGTCATCTCTACTTCATTGAAAACTACATCTCGACTGGTGATACACCTCCCGTGACCTGACTCTAGGCACCATAGCCTATAAGCTTTGACTCCTTTAGAGTATCCTATGAACATGCATTTCAGAGCTCTAGGTTCGACCTTGTCTTGCCTAAGATGAGTATAGGCCACGCAACCAAATACTCTCAGTCTGTCGAGACTAGGTGGATGTCCCAACCAAACTTTTTCAGATGTCTTCATTCCTAAGGAAGTCGAGGGACATCTATTTATCAGATAAGCTGATGTCGTAACAGCCTTCACCCAAAACAGCTTCTTCAATCCAGCACTAACCAACATACATCTAACCCTTTCAAGGATTGTTCGATTGAATCTCTCAGCTAAGGAATTTTGTTAAGGAGTACCTGCTACAGTCTTATGCCTTGCAATCCCAGACTTAACACAGTAACTGCCAAACGTTTCGTTGCAGAACTCAAGGCCATTGTCAGTTTTCAACCTTTTAACCTTTCTACCAATT